TGCGGCAGCCACTTTGTTGGTCCCGCACCAATAACGTGGAGGGCTGCATACAACTGCAGAACGTCACCCTTGCCATGAACATTCCTGGCATGGGGCCACACCAGATTCACCTACTCGGAGGACAGGGGACGCCCTGCTCCAATGCCACCTCCCTGTGCGCGGGGGGTCTGGACAAATGTAAGGTGAACAGTGACTCTGGGTCTGGTTGGCCTCATGTGGAGACTTGTGTAGCGGCGCACCGCCACTGCATGAACTTAAGTGGGACTATTGTTCAATCATGGCATGATTCTGGAAACGTGACAATTCTACTTACAACTGGACAGTAATCAGAAACCACTTGAATGGTCTATTCTTAAATAACACGATAGAATCTGACATTGAAACTCTATATAGATTAGCTTCTGAAATAAAAAAGGCTTCTGAACAGGACTTGAATCCTGACAAAACAGCAGAGAAAATCATACATTGGTTTGATAATGCCTCCAATTGGTGGGGGTCATTTGAGTATTGGATTATATTGATTGTTGTAGTGTGCTTACTTTTATGCTACTTGCCTATTATAGCCGGATGCCTCTTGAAAGTAATGATCTCCACGTTCAAAAATGTTATGTCTCAGCTACAAGTGCTGAAAGACACACACCCACGACGACCCCTTCTTTAAAACAAAAAGGGGGAATTGTTAGGGTGAATGTCTCACAGTCTCATGAGAGCTCTGCTGAGGGAACTTTCCCATGGGAGTTCTAGCTTCTATCAGCAGAAGCTGAGGGTCACAACATAGCTGCGTGACAAAAATAAGGAAGTCTCGCAAGACCTCTCCTTTGCTGACATGCAGCTCCCACGGTTGGTTTGGCTCTCCTCTCACTGGGAGATGAGTCCTGACACGAGCTCCAGCAGACTTGATGACTGGCTATCACAAGGGGATCACGCTTTGAACAGGCATCACTAGGGCTATAAAAGAGAGTTGCTAGCATTCAATAAATAGAAATCCATCCGCATAGGCAGCTCCTCTAAAACAAAAAGGGGGAATTGACACAGGAATTGTCACGGGGCTGCGCCCTGCCTATCAGAGTCCTGGCTTCTAAGCAGGAAGTTGAGAGTCACAGTCTGTTGTGTGAAAGCAAGGAAGTCTTAACTGACCTCTCCTCTGTGGACACGCAGCAACCATGGCTGGTTCGGCTCTCCTCTGAATGGCTAAGCGTTCCCGTGCACATCCTGTTCACGACCCTGACACGAGGCATGCATGCTATGAGGGGATGTACTGACTGGCTGCAGGGCTCTGATCATGCAATCCCAAGGTGCCTTGAGGGCTATAAAGGTCACACCCAGCTTACAATAAACAGGAGCTTCTGCCACCTTGCTGTCTCCCGCCTCATCCACGTGTCTCTGGGTTACTGAGCACTGAGCTGGTCTCATGCTCTCCACTGCAGCGGCCGCGACAAGAATGGTGGATCAGTGGAATAGGTTAGGTATGCAAGACATAGACAATGACTATAATAATCTATTGTTTGATAAACCCAAATACTTCGGTTTTTGGGATAAGAACTCACTATTTGACAAAAACTGCTGGGAAAACTGGAAAACAATATGGCAGAAGCTAGGCAGAGCCCAACATCCTGCACCATATACCAAGATAAGGTCAAAATGGGTACACAATTTAGACATAAAGGGTGAAACCATAAGCAAGTTAGGAGAGCAAGAAATAGTTTGCCTATCAGATCTATGGAGAAGGGAAGAATTTATGACCAAACAAGAGACAGAAAATATTATGAAATGCAAAATGGATAATTTTGATTATGAAATTTCTTTACAAAAGTTTTACAAAAAATTACTAAATTCTGCACAAAGCCAATGAGACCAAGATTAGAAGGGAAGTAGAAAGCTGAGAAGCAATTTTATAGCCAGTGTCTCCAATAAAGGCCTCTTTTCTAAAATATATACAGAACTGAGTCAAATTTGTAAGAACACAAGTCATTCCTCAATTGATAAATGGTCTACAGATATGACAGGCAGTTTTCGTATAAAGAAATTAAAACTATCTATAGGCATATGTAAAAATGCTCTAATCACTACTGATTAGTGAAATACAAATTAAAACAACTCTGAGGTGCAACATCCCAGCTATCAGATTGGCTAACTTGACAAAACAGGAAAATGATAAATGCTGGAGAAGATGTGGGAAAATTGGAACACTAATGCACTGCTGGTGGAGTTGTGAACTGATCCAACCATTCTGGAGAACAATTTGGAACTATGCCCAAAGGGCTATAAAATTGTGCAAACCCTTTGATCCAGACCACTACTAGGTCTGTATCCCAAAGAGATCATAAAAAAAGGAAAAGGACCCATATGTACAAAAAAATATTTATAGCGGCTCTTTTTGTGGTGGCCAAGAATTGGAAATTGAGGGGATGCCCATTAAGTGAGGAATGGTCGAACAAGTTGTGGCATATGAATGTAATGGAATACTACTGTACTATAAGAAATGATGAGCAGGTGGATTTCAAAAAAACCTGGAAAGACTTATATGATCTGATGCTGAGTGAAGTGAGCAGAACTAGGAGAACATTGTATATAATAGTAAGAGCAACATTGTGAGATGACCAACTTTGTTAGACTTAGCTCTTCTGAGCAATGCAATGATCTAAGACAATTCCAAAAGACTCATGATGGAAAACGTTATCCACATCCACAGAAAGAACTATGGAGTTTGAATGCAGATCGAAGCATACTATTTTGTCTTTCTTTTGTTGTTTTTTTGTTTTTTCTTTCTCATGGTTTTTCCCTTTTGTTCTGATTCTTCTTTCACAACATGATTAATGCGGAAATATGTTTAATATGATCATACATGTATAGCCTATATCAGATTGCATGCTGTCTTGGAGTGCAGGGAGGGAGGAAAATTTAGAACTCAAAATCTTAAAGAAGCAAATGTTGAAAACTAAAAATTAATTAAAATATTTTTTAAAAAATTTTAAAAATACAAAAAAAGAACATAGTAGGCACTTGATAACTGATCATTGAGTGACTGTAGAAATTCTTTCCATTATAAAAGCAAAGGACACTAAACTTTTCTATTCATACATAAATGTGGTATATATGGCATTTAATATACCAATAATGTATTCCGTACATTGCTAAAAGACATCCTCCCTCCACCCCGAAAAAAAGAGGAAAAGAGCTCCAATATACTGTAAGATTGTAATAATAAGAGACTTCATTTCTTCACCTTTTTGCTTAAAAAAAATTATGAAAGTTCCTTCCTTGACCCTGCCTACTCATGGGGCTTCATGGGACATCTTAATCTGATACATTTATATGATGCAGATGAGTTTATGAATTTTTCCCCTTCAGAAGAAGCAGCCTTTGACTGAAGGAGGAATGGAATAGGTTATTTAGAGCTATAAAGAGGACATCTGGGGTAGTATAAGAAAAGTAGTACAATTAATTCCTATACTGAAAATCCTCACAACTAAAGACCTTAGAGATAAACACCTTTAAACATCTGAATGCTGCAAAAGCTATTTTTAGAAAAAATGATCAATCAAAAATTTCTGAATTCATTTCTACTCGAGACAATGAAATTGATTAAGGAAAAAAAATCAAACTTCCCTGGACAACTTATATAACATGGGTCATCCATATCATCAATCCATCACTCAAGTGCTTTTCTAAATGCTAAGGAACGAAAAACCATAAATAAAATATTTAGTGCTTATTAATGCTAGTCTACTAATTTTAATTTTAAATAGGCCAAGTTCACAAAAGAGTTGCATTTTTTGTCCTGTGTTTCACACTGTATATAGTATACTGGATGTCCTCTTTTATATCAATTAACACATAGTACAGACAAAATAGAAAAGTAGAAATCAGAAAATCTAGAGCACTCTGTAGCTGTATTACGTTGGACAATTAATTCAAACTCTGCAAGTCTCAGTTTTCTCATCTGCAGAGTAGAGATAATCTTTCCTCTACTTACCTAACACTGCCTACTCATACTTAAAAAGAACCTGTCAAATAAGTGAGGGTTAAATAAGAAAGCCCTAGAAAATAAAATTTAAATGCAAAGTGGCATATTATTTATGACCATTTTGTAGAATTTTTATAAGCCAATGCATAGAATTTTGGAAGAGAATTGGAGGAGAGAAGTACAGGGAATGAGTGCAGACAAGTTGAGAAAGGGAGAAGTGATATAGAGTGCAGTAGCTGGAAGGGATGGCAGGACCTAGTAAAAGTTTTAGAGTCGGGTTTTGTTTTTGTTTAGTTTGTCTTTAAAGGATAGGGTATATTTAGGTATTTCTGTAGGAAAAAGGAAAGAACCATTCGATAGGAAAATACTGAAGATTAAAGTGAAATAATGGAGGCAATCTACTAGAGAAGGAGGACAACCTCTTCATCAGAAATTGGAGTATTGACTCTTTGGTTAGGACTACAACCCTTAGTTTTAACATTTCTCTGTCTAAAAATACAACCCAACTTAATACAACCTAATATTTTTTAAAACTGTATTACTGAAAACTATCTTAAAAGTTTTAATTATAAGGTCTAAAATAACATCTAAAAAAAAATCTTAAAGTAACCAGTATAGCAATGATCATGCTGTACTTTGCAAAATAAAATGACATTTCTGACAGCTATAAGAGCATGTGCTCTTGATTTTTTTCAGTAATGATTATATTATGTAAAGAGGATAAAAATGAACCCTATTTTTTTCTTTTCTATTTGTATCTCCAACACTTAGCACAGTGTCTTGGCACATAGTAAACTGTTAAATAAACACTTTATTCAGTCATTCAAATAGCAAGATAGGGTTTAACTAAGTTATGGAAACGTGTAATTAAGTCATAAATAAAATGTATCTTCACTACACCATATTATTACTTGTTTCATATTCAAAAATTTAGCACTTGCAACATATTCAAACTTTTCCAATGTCATGTAAAACTTCACTTGAGATATGAGAAAAGAGAATTCAATAAAATTACCGTTATCATTTTACTCACCTGTGCAATACCAATTAAAAATGTACACTGACAGAAGGGGCTCAAGAGCCATATTAAAGACTTAGGGAAATCCTCCAGCAGAACAATCAAAAGGCCCACAAATCCAAATGCCACTGTAGCTAAAAATTCAACTATTCCCACATGTTTTGATTTTTTAAAAAGGGGTGTAAGCATTAAGGCAAAGAAAACCTAAAAAAAAAAATCTTACAGTTAATAAATCAATTAATTTTAATTATAAACTATCTAAAATAAAATCAACATTAGGTACTTGAGTAAGAAATTTAATTTTCATAGACAATCATTCTATATACAAATGCTCAGAAACTGACTCAAAATGCCCAAATGTTAAAAGATATATAAAAGATACCTGCAAGTGTATCCACATTTCATTCATATAGATGTATATGGATCAGGGGACCTGTAACTAACTATTGACTAAGTGTTTACCTTTCAAGGAATTTTGACAAACACTAAAGAATTGCTGTCAAGCTATAATATATATGTTATATGCAAATATAACAAATAGTGACCAATAGATTCAGAGACTGATATATCTTCCATACCAGGAATATCTCTGAGTCAGTATTTAATGGAAATAAAAATACATACATAGTTAACTGAGGAAAGAAGAGAGTGTTTGGAACTGTTATGTCATCAATATAGGAAACACAGTATGGAAACTTCCTCCACCAATGCAAATGGGCAATTAGAGGCTAGATGACTTGCTAAATGGAATACAACTAGTATGTCAGAAGCATGACTTGAAACAAGACCAAACTAACTCCAAAACTAGCTCTTTCAACTAATCCACATGCCTCCCTTGTTAATGAAGTTGAATGTATTTACATACAATTAATAAAATTAATGTAAAATCATGTACAACATATGTGTCATCCAAAGAGCTAAGGAGAAACACATGGTGGGCATGATTAGGCTACAACAGAGTATCAATGAAAAATTATGAAAAAAATAGTATGAAGGCTATCATCAAAGAAATATCTAACCAAGAAAAGGAGATAAGATGTTCTCAGTAAGATCTGAAAGACAATCAACGTATATGGCCTATGTGCTCCAAAAGTTGTCAGGTCTAGAGGAAGGGCCCCAGCACACTGAATGGACCACTTGCAAAGAATGGGGACAGAAGCTACCTCAGGTGAGAAGTGTTAAGATCTGCACCTTTGAGGAAAATACATCAATAAAATCACAGATCCATTAAATTATCAAATGTATGGTTATATAAAGATATTCAAAATTAAATCCTAGTATACAAACCCACATCATGTGAAATACAACTCAATTTTATAATGAAGCTAATACTCTGTCCTTTCCAAGGCTAAAAAACCACAATGATGGTTCATGCAGCTATACTTTTTAATGGTCACTTGATAACATCTCAGCTAAAGAGAAAGGGAACTACAAACCAACCAACCAAATAAAAATCCTTCTAATAATTCTCAAATATTTGAGAAACTGTTCTTTATCCTTAGTTTTGAAGTTAAATACTTACTGAAGATAAGCCATACAGGAAAAAAAGGAGAAATATCACAAAACAGCTACTTTGAGGAAATAATGAAGAGGCTGTTGCAATGACTGCCATGAGAAGGGACATAATAAAAATCAAACTTGTATACAACAGAACCCAAGAAAGCCTAAAAAGAAAATACAAATACATTTAGATCCAAAGTATATAGGCCTGGAATCATAAAATCCATAATATCAAAACTATTTAGCTTCTTATTTATTTTCAAAAGATATTCAAACAATTTACTCAGCCTGTAAAAACCAACACTAATGTATTAAAATTTAAACATGTCATAAACAAGATAGCTATGCAGTTAAAATTAAACATTTTGTTAAATATGAAGATAAAATTATTTTCTTCCCAAAAGTTAAATACAACTATTAACTTTGCAAATCTTAAAGCACTATACAAATGCTAGCTAATTGTATTTTTTAAAGTGACAGCAACTCACGGTATATAAAAAAGAATATTATGAGGAGCCATGTAACACAGAACTGCAATTGAATTGTCATAAAATACAAAACAGCAAAATCAGTGTAACACTTTTCTCTAGGATATATGCTAAAAGTCCTATTTAAGTTGTGAACTTAAAGACTGTAGAAACCCTCCATTATCAAAGCATTTGATGTAATGTCTACTGTATGTTTAGTCAAAAACCATTCTATTTATTTACCTAAATTTTATAAAACCTATAGTTGAGTGGAAGAGATGAATTTTTTAGATTTTTTTCTAATTTCCATCCTGTCAATTTGCTAAAGGATGTTTCTGGGATGTAGAATTTCAGAGACAATTTTAGAGCTGGAGGGGAATTCAGACAAGATTACTTAGTCTAATACTATGATTTTTCAACTGAAGGAAAAAAAGGTGACAAGAGTAAGTGACTTGTCTGAATTTATGTAACTGTTATGGGAAGTTTTTGAAAACAACAGCAAATAACAAACAAAAATAATAATAAAGATAATTTCTAAAACTCCAGTAGACCTAAAAACTTTTTAAAAATTCTTCAAAGATAGTAAGATTTTAAAAAAGAGCTTATGCACACTTGTGCCAGATACTCCTTTTATAAAAGTCATAAAATTAGTTCTGTGCAATTGCCTATGTTTATAAACTGTGGTTTGGTGACAATTTGCTTATTTACACTTTTTCTTCCATGCAAAATGTCTATTAAGTCATCGGAAAATCAGGTTCAACATAATTCATCATAATCTGAAATTAGCATGTTCATGTAACAAATTATATATAACAAGTTCCTTTAAATTAAATATACAATTCTTTTTGTTTTTAGATCATTGTGAAGATACTGACCTACCAAAATTAAACAAAAGCCTCATTTAATTGAATTTGCAACTATGGATCACCTAAGAATAGAACTTCTTTATGTGCTTCCTTATAGTATTTATATTCACTAAATTTTAATTTCTCAATGTTACTCTTACTATCTGGGAAGAAAAGTCCATATTCTATATACTCAAAACCATTCAGATTTTTAAAGTATATAAATCATGGTATTTAGTAAACCAATTAACTAATTACTTTCTAGCTTCCCAAGAATTAAATTTGTAATCTAAAACTCTTAAACAGATGAGAAAGTGCATTGCATTATCAGACAACCTTGCATTATCAGACAAATTAATTACATGAAATGTGTGCCTAGTCTAAACTTCCATGGTGGTAAATTGAGTAAATTCGAAGACCAAAATCATACTGATAGAAAAGAATCAGCATCTGAATTACATTTAGAAATTATCAAGCACCACAGTCAAAAAGAATGTTTATCATCTTTATTTTTAAACAGCAATTGTACCCAACCAGCAACTCCATAAGAATAGTGTAAGAAGTCAGGGAGTGTGTATGCATGCATGCGTATGTAACCCAGGAGGACCAATGGAACAAATTACCCAGCAGAGATGCTATATGAAAGACTGGCGATGCAGGGACATCACAAGAAAATACCAAGCTGCCTCAGCTACATTTATCCCCTATGCCTACATAAAGGATAGACTAGCAGATAAGGTTGTACTCTGTGTCAGCAGAGAACTGAACTTGGAATCCTGAAGATCTGGTTTCAAATCTCACTTCTGACACTTGCAGTTGTTTGATCATAGGCATCATTTAGCCTCCCTGTAAGATTAAATTGCCTCATCTGTAAAATGAGGCAGTTGTACTAGATGGCCTTATTAGGTCCTTTCCAATGCTGATATGCTAATATCTTCACATAAGAAATGAGGACATTTACCATTTTAAAATTTAAAGTTAGTGTATACTGCTATGATCAAAGTCATTCTCATTCCGATTATCTACTGCTCTCTTTCACAAGCTAACATCTGCATCATACAAAATCTGGGGGACAAAGCTGGAGATTCGCAAATTCATCTTCAACAATATGTCACCTTGCCAGAAATATAAATGGAATAAATGCATTTTTTGATTAATGCCACATCAACAATAGTCTGAATCTGATCTGATATTATCAACTTAATTTCTAATACTGAAGAAGCAAGCATGTAAAAACAAAGTTAAACAAATCAGCAAATTTAAAATTAGTAAGAATTTATAGATATTATAATACAACATAAAAATTTTCAAAAACATACCAAAAAGCAGTATCATGAAGCCCCATTATCTTTAAAAACTCTTTTAGCTTTTTCTCTTTTTCTGCCACAATATGAATTGCCAAAAAATATCCAAAAGGTGAAAAAGCTATAACTAGGTAAATTAAAATTACTCCTCGAGGAAAGTTATCTATTTCTATAACAGCAGTTTCTCCCATGACAACTGCTTTAGTAGATTCCAGCTCTTCCCAGGCTGAATAATTGGTCTTCAACTATAAAAGAAAATAAAAGTGCCTTTTAATCAATTCAGTTTCCAATAGCTACACCTATGAAAAATTAATAACTGTAAAATAATTAGTCAATTAAGAACTTTAACAAACTCCAACAGACCACATAACTGAATTAAATAAAATGAATAACTCTGACATCATTCTACCAAGTAGAAAAAGATTTCTTTAATCTATCGTACCAAGAATCATCAGGCATTACTCTGAAATATAAAATTAGAAAAGGATTATAAATGTTGCTGAAACAAATTTTCACAAGAAAGTAATTTGTCACATTTGTCTATAAGCTATAAATCAGACCTTTTTAAAGAAAATTTAATGTACTAAAATACAGACAACATAACTATAAAATGTTTGTTGAATTGATTTTTTGTCTTTTTTTTAACTGACAAAATCTATTTTCCCTCTCTCTCACTCTCCTAATTGAAAAAAAAAAAAAAAAGACAAACCCTTGGAGGAAATATGAATAGTTAAGCAAACCCACTTCCCTCTTTGGCCATGTCCAAAAATAGATACCTCTTGATCTGAGGCCTGAATCCATCACCTTTCTATCAGGAGGCTAGTAGCAAGCTTCATCATCATTCCTCTGGAATAATTTTTAATCACTACATTGATTAGAATTCTTAAGTCTTTCAAACTAATTTGTTTTTACAATGTTATTGTTAATGTATAAATTATTCCTGTGGTTCTGCTCACTTCATTCTATGTCAGTTGATATAAGCCTTCTCAGCTTTCTCTGAAACCATCTCTTATTTTTTCTTAGAGCACAACAGTCTTCCATTACATTCATAAATCACAATTCCAGTTCTTTACAACTACAAAAATTTTTTTTTCCCTACATATAGGTCTTTTTCCACTTTCTTTAATCTCTTTGGAGCCCAGGCTTAGTAGTAGTATCACTGCACTGAGTCAAGGGGTATGCAGAGTTTAGTAGCTTTGGAGGAACAGTTCCAAATTTCTTTCCAGAAGGCGTGGACCAATGGACGGTTCTACCAACATCATTTTTTTTTGGGGGGGGGGATTAGGCAATGGAGTTAAGTGACTTGCCCAGGGTCACGCAGCTACTTAGTGTTATGTGTCTGAGGCCAAATTTGAACTCCACTCCTCCTGAATCCAGGGCCGGTGCTCTATCCACTGCACCACCTAGGTGCCCCCAACATCATATTAACGTGCCTTTTTTTTCACAGCCCCTCCAATTCTTGTCATTTTCATTTTTTGTCCACTTTGCTGATGTGATGGTTGGCAGGTGAAACTTTAGAGATTTTAATCTATATTTTTAAAAATTATTAGTGACATGGAGCATTTTTACATAGCTACTGAAAGCTGGATTTCATCTGAAAATTGCCAGTATTATATATTTTGATCATTTATCAGTTAGTGAATGACTCATTCTTATAAATTTGAATTAATATCCCATATATCTTAGATATGAGCCTTACCTGCTTCCCTTTTAATTTTGACTGCATTTTACTTTGTGACAAAAACTTTTTAATTTTATGTAATCAAAATTGTCCATGTTAACTTCAATGATCCTTTCCATCCTTTGGTCATGAACTCTGTCCCTAGGTATAGATTTGCTCCTCAAAATTATTTTATTATGTCACCCTTTCTGTCAAAGTTATGTTCCCATTGAAGTTTATCTTGGTATTCATTTAACATTCCTAACCGTCTAAACCTAATTTCTGCCAGACTGCTGTTGAACTGAATCTAAGAAATTCAAATTACAAAAATATTCTTCAATTTTTATGCTTTCGTAAAGCATTCTTTTAAATAAAACCTTTGCTATACTTAATATACACATATATATTTAAATTTGATTATATTAATAATAGTAGTGCTACAAGTAAAGTACAACTGAAACTACTGTCATTTTGAATCTTATATCAAGTTTAAAGCCTTACTATAAGGAAAGGAGCCAGGATCTGGTTGTCCATCTCAAAATAAAGCTTACTTGTAGCCTGATTAAAATGACTATACAAGACACAAAAATGAAGGTAGAAAAAAATTAATAAAGTAAAATGAAAAATAAACAGTGATACAGAACACAGGTAAAATACTGTTATTTAACACAACATGAGTTCTGACCAGAATTATCTCAGTCTAGTACATAAATCTCTAGATTAAGGTTTTCTCAATATCTGGCATTCCAGTACTATATGTATATAAGTGTATTTGTATAGAAATACACATGTACATAAATACAGGGATGAATTCTTGGCACAATACACACATACTACTCTATCTAAACAGCTGTATCAATTATTTAAACTAAGAAAAAATATTGGAGAAAAATAATCAACAAATAAGGATCTTTTAAAATATTATCTATGGAAAATACTAATTATACCCGAAAATGGATTGCTAAATCATATAACTATAGAAATTTAGGTCTTCATATTTTAGATCTTTACAGGTCTTATAGTATAAAGCTTAACTTTTTACCTCCTACCCTTTTCCAAATCCAACACAGCAAAAACTTTACATGATTTTTTACAAGTCAAGCAAGCTGCTTTGCAAATAAGACAATTTATAAAAACATTCTTTTCTATGACTCCTTTTTCATATTTACCTGTATAATTGCAGCATCAATGGAGGTTTGTAAAGCTATGAACCCTGAGTGCCAGTATAGAGCAGCCTCACATGACTTTGAACAACCAGCTATAAAGGGAACAAAAGACAATATGCAATTTTGCAAAATTATACATGCAATCCTCTCTAAACATAACATAAATAGGAATGATACACATGTTAATGGCATACCCTCATTATCAATGTGAATACTCGTACTACACGTGGAAATCACAATTCTACTGCACTTCATCCTGTGGTATTCTGTTTTCTGACTCTCATCAATCCTCGATAACGGATTTAGCTAATTAAAATAACGGAGGCTTTCTTTTAGGTTTTCCTACAGCTGTGGGAATGAGTGCAAGACTCACTCAGGCTGTCCCCTCTATTATCCCTTGGCTCTGGCTACAGACCTAGCTTACCTTCTTCTCTAATCACACAGTTCCTTGACAATGTAGGCATTCATGTTGTATAATATAATACAGTCTACTTACATACAATTATGATTACTGAAACAATCTATTCAACCACCTTCTATTAGCCACAGAAAACAAACTATTGTTGTTCTAAAATATACTGTTATCTACAAGTTTTCTAATCATTCATTTTTTATTGTGGTAAATATCTATATGCAATAAGGACATTAAAAGTCGTATCAATCAGCACAAACGGAAGTAAAACTGGTAATGAAGAGTTATGCAAAACAATGTAATTTTCTTTAATAAATTAAACTTGTAATAGCCACAATCACTTATCAGCTTCAAAGCTCTTACAAAACAAGGACAGGCTTAATGCAGGACAAGGGAAAAAAATTACACACAAATACACACACACACACACACACACACACACACACTAAGATGACTTCTTGAATAAAAGCCAAATATTAGTATCAAAGTACATACTACATGTTAGGCACTAAATATTTTAATGATGCTGATGCTAGGTTAGGAGGCAATAAACTTCTTGAGGGCAAGGGCCATATCTTATTCAAACTTTGTATCTCAGCACTCTAGCACAATGCTATGAACCCTGAGACACATAAGTGCTTATGACATATTAATTTAAATAACTTCCTATGGATGAACAACTGAAAGTCAATGTTCCTTATTCAAATAAGAAAATAACAATTTGTTTCTTGGAATAAAAAGTCTTTAAATTTTTCTGTAACGCTATAAGATTAGTATCACAAAAGTACTTGTATTAATTTGAGAGGGAAAAAAAGAGAAAGTAATGAATAGGTTTAACACTGAACTGTCAAAAAAGGACAAGGTTATTATTATATAATGCATATACCCATTTGATTCCTGTGTTTATATTTTGTCCTGTCTCCTCCTATACAAAGCCTCTGGTTATCTCCCTAGTTCTTAGTGTCTACTTCCTCAAATCACATTTGATTTATATATCTATATACATGTTGTAGCCCTTAACCCCTCTATCCCCAACCATGCTTCTTAAAGCATTATTCCCAGGGCCTAGAACAGTGCCTTGCACAGAATAGGTACTTAACTATTTATTGAACTGAATCCAAACTTCTTTTGACAATGTTTCTCTGAGCAAATAAACTTGGCTGATGCAATATATCATGGGATCATATATTCAGGGATTCAAAGGCCTGAAGAAGTCATTCAGACCAACATCCTCATTTTACAGATGAGGAAAATTGAGATCCAAAGGAGAAAGGGTAGAGTTCGGATTTTAACTGGCAAAGAAGACCAGGAAGGAATATGCCACAAATGTCTCCATGCCATAATGTCTGTTAATATGTTAATAAGTACTGATACATAATATATAATATGGCTTACTTATTAATTTCAAACATGGATTAAAATCATAACAAAATTACCTTATACAACTCTCAAAAACTTGACTAGGGATGCTTACCTCTGGAATTCATATAGACAGAAGATACTGGGATCATATCAGGAAAAAAACGCAGTTCATAGGACATGAAGTCTTTGAAAACCACACCCACAAAATTGGTAGGCTTAGAAAGACTGGATTCTTGCAATTCTCTCTCATTTGCATACTTTTCAGTAACTAAGACTACAAAAATATTACATAGTTATTATTCACAAATTAGAATGTCTGAGGAAAACACAGAAGTTCAATGTTTACACATTTTAAGAAACATTTATAAAAAATTTTCTGTTTTCAGTACTCCTTGATATTTATTAAGGAATTGCTAAAATGCTAATAGAATACTATGAACAATACAGTATTTTAATAGATTTTGGATTTCTATAGTGTTTTTCCTCTAAAGGCATAAAAATGTCTAATAATAAACATTTCTAATGATAAATTTAATTTCTCTTTCAGGACCAGTCCTTTTTAGTTCTTAATCAGAAGGGAGAGGAGGGTTATTTATAATTGAAATGATATTGTTTCTTAAATTAAACATGAGAAGACTACAGACAATACTAGAATCACAAGAATAAAAGGCCATGAAAGTCAGCCATCTCAAAGCAGGTGTAGCCCTATACAGTTGTCAATAGATAAGTTCCTACAGGATTCTTGATTATATCAATGTACAACTTAACAGTGGCAGGAAAATTCTTTGTAACTAAAATTCCTAATGCTGCCATTTAAATCCAGTATTTCTTCATATGTCATTAGAGAAAAATTATCTTCTCTTCATTCAGGCTTCTCTTTTCCAATCCCAACATTTAAGATCTATCTTCATAGACCTATTTTCAAACATTTAATCTTCTTTTCTGAATTTTCTATAAATCATTCACATTTCTCTAAGTTAGATAAAACTTTTGAAAAGGTCTAAATAATTCTGAAAATAATAAGGAAAATTATTCATATAAAATTATATATAAATTATTTTATACAAAATTATTATTACTTTAAAAATTATTATCAAAGGTGTAAATGTTCTATTTCCATGCACACATATCCTAGTTTGATTCCTGCATTTTTGTGAAAACACTATATAATTTAGATACAAATATAATTAGTCATTCTTCATCTTGTATTTATATAAGTTATCTTGGAACTTCATTTTTTGTATATTTTTAGTTTTTCCAGAATCAGAGATTTAGAACTGAAAGAGACCTAAGAGGTCATTGAGTTCAAGACCCCCATTTTACAAATGAGGTAAATGAAGTCCAGAAAGGTGATGTGACTTGCTCAAGGTAATGAAGGATTCATTAGCCCAGATCACATGACTCCAAGTCCATTGCTCTTTTACACTGTACCACATGACCTTTTCTCATTTCTTGAGCTCCTCATGATTCTAATTATGTTGTTCCAATCTGCTACCCCACCCAGTCTAGTATTCACACAGACTTAGTAAGCATTCTCTCAACATTTAGATTTTTATAAAAATATTTAATACTACCAGGCTCAGAAAAAAAAATCTACAGAAAATTTTCCTCATCTTTCTAATAAAATTAGTTAATTGTTTATCCATTTTATTGTAAGTTTTCACCTCCACAAAAAAGCCCAGCTTTTACTTTTATTAATTCAATGTTTTTAACTTTCAATTTTGTTAATCTCTTCCTTGATTTTCTGAATTTCTTTTCTAGTGTTTGTTTTTTAATTTGTACACTTTCTAGTTTAGTTTAGTTTAGTTTTGTTTTGAGTTAAATGACTCACTGATCTGCTTCTCTGTCTCTCAAAGTGTTTAAAAATATAAACTTCCTCTAAGGACTGCTTTTGCTGCATCTCAAAAATTCCGGTATGATGTCTTATTGTTGTCATCTTTAGTGAAATTATCTGTTGTTTCTATCATTTATTTTTTGACCTCCCAAATCTCTGAGATGAAGTTATTGAGTCTCCAGTTGATCCTTAATACTTTTTTCAGCAGCTCTTTAATATAATTTTATTATGTTATGGTAAATAAAGGATGTGATTTGTTAGGTCTTTATGTCCTAATGCATGATTAATTTTTATAAAAGTACCTTTGCACAGCTAATATATACACATATATATACATATATAGGTATGTTCACATACATATTCCTTTCTATTTTCATTCAATAATAGCCAGAATTATATCATATCTAACTTTTTAAAAAATTCTATTCAGATCTCTAACTTCTTTTTTGTTTATCTACAACTGAAAAGAATACACTGAGGTACCCTGTTACTATAGTTTTATTCTCAATTTATTTCCTATTTCTCTAGTACTTCTCTTTTTAAATATTTAACTTTTCCTTTAAGTATTTAAAATCAATGATATTTTGTGCATATATGTTAAAGTACTGAAATTAATTCATTGTGTATGGCACCCATCACCATGCTTGGGATTTGTTTTGTTTATGACTAATACTTCCGTGATATACTCTCCTTCTTATACTCCACCCCTTCTCCCCTATCTCTATTTCTTTCTATATCCAGGATGAGTTTAATATATTCTTATATCAAACTTTCTTTGTTCTCTCTTCTGACCAGGTTAGATGAAAGTAAAGTTCAAAAGATGCCTGCTCCCCTCATTCTTTCCAATTGGACATTTCAGTTGTCAATGATAACTTCCTGAGTAAAAACCTTCAATAAGTTGTGTAATCATAAAACATGATATGATACATACTGGTCCGCCATACCCATCATTCAAGAAAACAACAAGCCAACTTCTGGCCAAAACTCAGTAACAACCAAAGACCCACATACGTGGCATTTTTGGTTCTCCAAAACTGTAATGCTTATATCAATTCTCTGGTCTCAAACTGAGAGTAGAGTTGCTTTATGTTCTCAGCTACAGCTACAACTACCATTTTGTGCTGCTATTTGCCCTATATACCGACAGTGACCGATTACTAATACTGGAAATATTTTTATCACTTTAAATACTAGAGTATCACAAGATCAGGAACTATTAAATATAGTTATCATTTTATGAATGTGCTTATTTTGTAAGTGATCAAAGGAAATATAATCAGAGAAAATATGAATTAAAATAATTTAAATATTCTCTCTACTGCTAAATATGCCAACCAGCTATAATGTCAATGTTGTTGAAATATTCAGTAAAAGCCAATAAAACAACTTAAATTATGCCATAATTATTATAAAGCCAAAAATATCATTAAAGTAAAATATATATCACATAAAGAATTAAATTTACTCAGTGCAATTAGCATATAAATAATCTAAGAAACTACCATATGAAGCTGGAAAAATACATATATAGGCTCACAATACCATCAGGAAGATAATAAGCAGACACTATATTCATGATGTTTCTTGTAACGTTAGTCACTGGAGCATATGCAATAATGAATTCAGACAGGATAGATTTATCCAAGGGGTCAAGTTCTGTATCAGGTACTTCTGCATACTTCTTATTTGGATGCATCATGCTTATTAATATTAACCAAAATAAAAAAAATAGTGGAAAAATAATTTCCTGCAATTAAAAAGAAACAATGTGATTAAAATGTTTAAGAATGAAAGGTAAAGAAAAATGAATACTCTTGGAATTGGAAATTTTTGAGTTAGTTACCCAAAGCATCTTCCTAAACATATTATGTGGTCCTTCTTTTGCCTTCAGTATCATAAAAATATTTTAAAATCTAAAGCCTAGGATAAATGAAGGTGATACATGAACTAATGTCACTGTATCCTATAACCATTACTGCATTTAAAAAAATTTAATGAACCAGTAATAAATATATCTATGAAGAAATTTTTGCATTCAAACTAACCATAGACATACATTTATAAATGTGATGCTGTGTGTGTATATATATAAAATTTGCATAACTTACAATATTAGAGTACATCATAATCAATCAGTAAGTCAACAAGCACTTATTAAACAACCATTGTATATCTAGCACTGTACTTGGTGCTGAGTATACAAAGAAAAAACCAAACAACCTCTGTCTTAAAGAGTTTATATTCTATTGGGGATGACAACAGATATATATAAGTATATAAAGAACACATACACAATAAATAAAAGGCAATGTCTAGGGGTGGGGGTGGGTGGGAGGCTGTTGAGTTTGAAATGTCCAGTAGGCACTTTGTGAAGCAAGACAAGCTCTGGAGATAGTCTAAGGCTGGATATATACATAGAGGATTATGTGCAGAAATCATGCAACCCAATAGAATTGGTTCTTTCAAAAGAGAAAAATTATGTAAAGGGAAGAGACCTAAAGGAGAGGAATGAGATATATACACAATTGGGGGAGGATGATGATTCAGTAAAGGAAATTGAGGAGTAGTTATTAGGCAAGTTGAAAAATGAAGAGGCAGTAGTGTCATAAAAATCCAGAAAGTTGAGAGTATACATGAGAAAAGGCTAACCAACAGTATCAAATGCTACAGAAAGGACTAGAAGGATGAGGATTGAGAAAATGCCATTGGTCATGGCAATTAACATATCATTGGATATTTGGCAAGAGCAAAAAAAGAAGGTTTGAAAAAGACAGAGGACCACAATAAAGAATCAATTTGAAAGGAATTGGCATGCCTTGCACAGTGAAGGCCCAGATAACATACATTTATATGCGACTGAGTCATCATGATTGCCATTTCTTCCAGCACTATTCTACCACACATGAGGAGGAAAATGGAGGGAATAATCCAGGGTTAGGGTGTGGCAAGGCATGACTGGCAACAGGTCAAAAGGGCAAGGAATTTAAGAGGACAATATATTGTTAAATTGGCTAACTATAAGGTCAAGATTAAGAAGAGACGAAGTGAAGCTAGAGAAGCGTGATGGCTTAGCAGAATACTGAAGGATGGAAGGGCTGGAGGTCATGGCAAAGCATTACTGAACAGGTTTAGGAGAAGTGAGCTTGTATTTAAAATTAGCAAGTCATATAACTATACTTTTCAGTGAAGAAAGGTAATAGTGTTTTCTGATAACTACACAGCTGCCATAATCACAAACACTGTCACTGAAATGAAAAAAAAAAATTGGCGCTAGCACCAGCTAGACCTTCAGAGGCAAGTAGGGCTTTGAAGATTGATGCTGCAGCTATAGGGAAAAAAAAGTCAACAAGTCCATGAACAATTAAAATTAAAAAGGAAAAAAAGGATCATAATAGTGCTACTGTGAACTATGGGAAAAGTGGACTCAATTATCTTCCTCAGATGAATCCCAAAGACTGCCTTCAGCAAGTTTCCTAAGGTTGATAGCTTCCAGCAAGCCTCCTTAACTCCTTTACCTCAATATCCGTTACCAGCTCCCCCTGAACTCCCCTGACATGCCTGGGCAACTCATAAACCCTTCCCTCCTCAGAAACAGCCCTACTTCAAGGGATATTGATTCCATCTTGCTCTGTATCGGTCATTTTGCTGTAAATGATCTCTTGAGAACTGCAAGACCAGCTGCAGCACCTAGAATCCTTCAGCATCTCCTTTTCGCCTCTTATTGGTATAAAAAGACAGTTGCTGACAATGGAGGATTCTCTAGTCCCGGAAAAGTTCTCCTCCCTATATGGCCCAATGGACAGATTTCTTTGATTTAGTGACACTAGCTACACTCAGACAATAACTCCCTTATCTACCTCCTGTAACTGTTACACATTTTTCTCCAATAAGCATAACATTCTTTTTGTATAATCACATGCGTTTTATGAATAGTCATATTTCTTTTCTTTGTTTCACACAATGTTATTTTGAAGGATGTTGAGCTTATGAATGCTACCCTAAAGAAACAGGAAATTCTTATACTAGGTTCTGCCATCCATTTTAGTATCTACCTCAGCCACCTAGAATAAATGGCTTCACTCTTAATTGACTTCTTAGTATTATTATCCAACTCCAAACTCAAGACTCAGAATACTGACCCCTTTTGGGTCCCCCAAAATTTCCACTACAGAATTATAAGTAAAAAATTAAAATTGAAACAATTGTCATTCTGGGAATATTCACTCCTTTTTAAATCTTGAGCCTTGAAAGGTTTATTAGTGTTCTATTATTAGCAAATTAATTAAATATTGCTTGTAAAATCTTGTCTGGTAAAAAGGGATAAATACAAGTAAACTCCACCCCACTTGCTATATATTTTAAGGCTTATTTAAAGGACAGAACAAAAATGGTCAATAGAGAACTGAAACCTAAGGGAGAAAATATTCACGATAACATCAAGTCACCAAGCAGAAATTAACAATATCCCAAGATACAGAAAGAACTGGCAAATGTGACTGCCAAGTCACTGTTACTGACTTTTTAAAAAAATAATGGAGAAGGAATGGGGGCAATGCAAAAATTACTGAAAGGCAAATGTTATGATTTTTTTAAACTGAAGAAAATCGAATATGCAAACTATATGGCAATGGACAGCCTATTTCCAGCAAAATTTTGAAATGTACTATTAAAAGGATGGCTAATGATCATAAAGGATGCATCAGTGATTTAAAATCAGTTCCATGAAGGAGCTCACATTCTACTGTAGGATACAATATGAACACAGATAAATAGATATAAATTATACAAGTTCAAAAGGAAGAGAGCACTAATAACTGGATGAAGCAGGGTAAGAATCAGGAAGGGACTTCAGTAGTAGATAGCACCACAGGCATTCTTTGAAGGAAGTTAGGGATATAAGAGGCAGTGGTGAAGAGAAAGTACACTACAGAAATAGAAGATCACCTGCACAAAAGCATGGATGTGGGAGATAATGCCATGTACTGTTAATAACTAGTAGGTCAGTTTGCCTAGAATGGAGAGTAAAGGGATATGGAATAAGATTGAAGAGGGAGGTGAAATTTGTACTATGGAGGCTTTAAATGACAAGCTGAGGATTCTATATTTTCTCTTAGAAACAATAAGGAAATACTGATGATTTTGAATTGGAGTGACATGATGAGATCTGTTTTAGGAACATCAATTTAGCATCTGTGTGGAGGAGTCAGCTAGAATTAATTCTTATTTCTCCAATCTTCTTACTCTTAACTCTCCTCCACATGCTCTACTTTCTGGCAACATTGGCCTACTCACAGTTTCTCAAACAGGCCATTCCACCTCTGATCTCTGAGCCTTTGCAATGACCTGGAATGCTCTAACCCTTTATCTCTGGCTCTTGGGTTTCCTTGACTTCCTTCAAAACTCAACTCAAATCTTACCTCTTCCAGGAGGCTTCTCAGCTGCCAATACCTTCCCCTCTTAGAATGCCTTCCATTTATTCTGTAATCTTTATGTACCCAATTGTTTACATGCTGTTTTCCCCATTAGAACGAGTCACTAGAAGCACTCTCACTCTGGAGATGCTTCTCTCCCTCCTCTGACTGGTTAATTCCTGACTGAAACTTAAGAAAACAGTTAGGAATTATATTTTGCTACTTATAAAACCAAAAAAGTACCATTCAGCTTACCTGAACACTACTTTTTTTAGTTCTACATTTAATTAGATAATTCTTGAGTAAAAGAGTTCGTGTTTGTCTCCACACTCCCACTTCTCTAATTGCTGTAGTCATGTTGTCTGCATCAACCTGGGAATAAAAAAATGTAGAAATTATATAAATACACATAAATTTATATAGCACATAATCACTATTGATTAGAGAAATGTTAATTAAAACAACTCTCAGGTACCACCTCACACCTACCAGAAATCACAAATGCTGGAGTGGATGAAGGAAAAATAACTATACTAATGAACTGCTGGTGGAGTGGTGAACTAGTCCAACCATTTTGGAGAATAATTTGGAACTACGCCCAAAAGACTATAAAACTGTGCATACTCTTTGATCTAGCAATACCACTATTAGGTCTGTACCTCAAATAGATCAAAGAAAAAAGGACCTATATGTATAAAAATATTTACAGCAGCTCTTTTTGTGGTAACAAAGAATTGAAATTGAAGGAATGCCCATCAACTGGGGAATGACTGAACAAGTTACAGCTTATGATTGTGATAGAGTACTATTGTGCTATAAGAAATTATTGGGGGGGTGTCAGAAAAAACACAGCAAGACCTATATGAACTGACGCAAAATGAAGTGAGAAGAACCAGGAAATAGATAACTGCGCACAGTAACAGCAATGTTGTAATGATGATCATCCATGAAATGTGAAAGACTTGGCTGTTCTGATCAACACAATGATCTCAGGCAATTCCAAAGGACTCATGATGAAAAAATGTTATCCACCTCCAGAGAGAAAATTGATGAACTCTGAGAGCAAACTGAAGTATGACTTTTCTCACTTTATTTTTCCTGCTCTTTTTTAAATATGGCTAATATGAAAATATCTTTTGCATCACATGCATAATTGATATTATACTGCTTGCCTTCTAGATGGGTGGGGCAGGGGGGTGGGTGGCAGGGAGAGAATCTGGGACTCAAAATTTAAAAAGAAAAGAATGTTAAAAATAAATAATATTTTTTTAAAAAAGCTTTCCTTAGACACTGGTATTAATAATTATTTATTATTAATATTATTATTATTATTATTATATTATTATTATATATAATTAATATATTATAATTATTATTAATAATAATTAATTAATTATTAAGTCACAATTTCTACAGAAGGCCTCAGCTAGGCACAAATTATTCAACATGTCATAGAATAAATCTTACCCAAATCAAAGCTCCTAGCATAGTACCTTATATCCAATAGGTATACATACAAATAAATATATACTGAATGAATACATAACTACATGAATATTTCCATTTAAAAGTAATATAGATTCTGCTTTCTGACTTACTATTTTTTTTTGGAGTGAGGCAGTTGGGGTTAAATGACTTGCCCAGAGTCACACTGCTAGTAAGGGTTATGTGTCTGTGGCCAGATTTGAACTCAGGTCCTCCTGACTCCAAGGCTGCTATTCTATCCACTATGCCACCTACCTGCCCCTTTTATAAATGCCTTTTTTTTGTGAGGCAATCAGGGTTAAGTGACTTGTCTAGGGTCGCACAGCTATAAGTGTCAGGTGTCTTGAACGCAGGTCCTCCTGACTCCAAAGCCAGTGCTCTATCCACTGCACCACCCAGCTGCCCCTCTATTTTTTTTTTGACAAGGCAATTGGGGTTAAGTGACTTGCCCAGGGTCACACAGCCGGTAAGTTAAGTGTCAAATGTCTGAGATCGGATTTGAATGCAGGTCCTCCTGACTCCAGGGCTGGTGTTCTATCCATTCTATCACCTAGCTATCCCTGTGATTTACTATTAGAATAATTTTCAATTGTGCTTATTAGGTGCCTTGAACAAGTCACTTAAGCACTCTGGGATTCATTTTCCTCATGTGTAAAATAAGTTAAACAGATGCACTTCAAGGTTCCCTCTAATTCTAAATCTATACTGTGAATTATTTTATGAATGAATAAGTATTTTTCTGGTCTGACATTTTTATAGTAGAATCACAAAGTCAAAGGATTTTCATATGAAATATGAGTTCCATCAGTCAGTCAATAAACATTTATTATGCACCTACTATGTGCCAGGTACTTTGCTGAGCATAGTGTTTTATCATTTTCTTCACTTCTTAAAAAAACTCTAGTTTTGTTCCTTCTTTTAAAATGTATCAATGAGAGTGACAAGACCAGTAAGATGCCAAAATAGATGAACTCAGCAAACTTCCTGTACCCTGAAATAAAGGAATTGTTTGCCAGAGGTAGGGCAATCACATTTGATTCTTCAAGATAAGAATATAAAAGCTGTAAGCAAGGTTAAAAAAACCCTATAAATTACAGAATTTAATTACTCAGAGAGCTCTCTCACTCCACATGCCCACAAAGAGTAAAAACGAGCAAACTCACAGAATTTTGCTGTGAAACCCAGTCTTGACCCCTATGGTTTCAGTGACTATTCCTTATTCCCAACCATCCCTCCAAACCCAGAAGAAAGCAACAGACATTGATGCTGCCAAGTCATGTGAAAGAAAAGAGCAAAAGGCAACATGCCTGTGGGTAGCAGTGATTAGAACCAGAAGCTAGAGAGAAGCAACTTATTCTTATGGAAAAATGAATTGGGAAAGCCATCTTGGGTAAGTACCTCCCCCTTGGAAGTGATTCAGAGGAGAGAGCAGCAGGGGCACCCCTGAAGCCTAGCCCTGGATGTCCACTTAACAGTAAAGAGAGAGAAGACAAGGAGTGGATAGAGGGGGAAAGAGAAGAAAAAGCTAAAATGGCAAAAAGATAAAGAGGAAAACCTTAACAGAAGCCCAGGAAACAAAGCATATGAGCCAAGATAGGAGAGCAAGGAGAAGGAATAAGAAAAAGAAAAAAAAAACAAGGGAAAGAAAAGGAGGAAAAGAAAAAAGAAGAAGAGGGAAGAGGAAGAATGAGTAAGAACTGAAAGAAAAATCAAAACAGATTAAGAAAATATAATATGAAGGAAAAGGAAGCAATAGAAAAAAGGAATCCTGTGGACCCCTTAGAGATCACAGAACAAAAAGAAACTATAGAGGACTTTTGGAACACATGAGCAGAAAGATAAATGATTATACATTTTTTTTCTGATCCTCATGACCTCTTAAGCATCTCCAAAACAGAAATTACATGCTAAAGCTAAAACAACATCCATTGCCTCCACGGTCTAGAATAGTCAAAATACAAAAGAAAGTTAAAAAAAAAATAACAAAATAACATGAAATGACACAGCCTGAGCTTACTCAGCATCTCTCCCCAACCTCTCAGGCCACAGGCAGCAACCAACAAATAGACTTGCAAAAAAACCAAATCCCAAACTCTAGTCCTCCTTCTTTTTTCCAGTGCTGTAGAGGCCCTGGCTCCAAGCTGTAGAACTTTGCTTGGATCACAAAAACTAGCCACAGACAGCTAGCAAAGCAGCAGCCCTTCAAAAGCAAAATCCTGCTAAGGGCCACAACAGCCAGCAGCATCACGGCCAACAACCCTATAGCACAAGTGTTGCAAAGTTCTGAAATGTCAATGCCCAGCAAGAGAACTGAGGAACAGAGGGAATGAGACAGGATACTGTTGGGGGGAAGGTAGGGGGTGGGGTGCAGCACTCCACTAACCCTGAGGGAAAGAGTTGAGCATTCAGCTGGAGTTAGTTCTGTTTACCCAAAAATCAGTTGGGTCAGAGACCTAGGATGGTGAACCAAGAACTGCTCAGTATGGGAGGAAGCTGAGATATACTCAAAGGCAACCACCATCAGAGGGTAAAGTTAGAAAGTGAGCAATAGGGGTAAAAGGGAAGGGAGGAGACTGAAATTACCAAAAATCTCAGGAAGAAGAAAACTCAAATATCTTAGCAGAAAATATTAACCACAAAAGGAAATATGGCCTCCACATCCAGTAAAAAAGAAAAAAAAAAGTTCAAGCATCTATAAATAGATAATACTGCAAAACAAAAGAGAATGATCCAACGCTTAATAAGACAGAGGATCCTGTGGAATATGAGGAGGACATTGAACCACCACAACCCACTGTTCCTAAGTCGTTCAAAATAAAAATGAGACTTATGAGAGCAGAATTTGTGGTCCTTAAAACAAAAATAATGGACAGAGTAGAAAAACTGTAATCTGTGACAGCAAGTATCACCAAAGAAACAAAAGTGAGAACAACAGATTTATAATGCAAATATACAGAGGTGAAGGACAATCTAGAAGAGAAGCAAAAAAAAAAACAACTTAAAATATGGTTGCAAAGCAAACAAAACATAGTGATTTTAAAGAGAGGATGCTTAGAAACAACCTAAGGATCATAGATTTCCCAGAAGAAAAAAAAGTGACAGACTGGAGAAAACAAAAACCTACAATTTGTTGCTTATAAGAAATACATTTTAAAAACAAAGACATAAATAAAATTGAAATAGAAAAATATTTACTATACATCAAGTAAATCCAAAAAAGCAGAAGTTGTAAATCATGCTAATAAAGCAAAAACAAACATTCAATAGACAAAAAAGGATAAATAAGTACACTGCATTATACTGAAAGGAACACAAACAAATATGCTCCAAATGCTTTAACATCTAAATTCATGAAAGAAACATTCTCCAAGCTATAAAAAAAGACAAAAAATGTAACACAATCATGACAAGACACTTCAAAATCCCTCTCTCAGTTTTGGACAGGTTTAATAGATACAGCAAATTGGAAAATATAGAACTGAAAAAATTGCTGGATAAACTAAAGTTAAAAGACTTGTGGCATCTTCTAACTGGGACAGCTAAAAAATATACATTATTTGTCAGCATCACATGGAACTTTTATATAACTGACCATGTACTAAAACACAAAAATACTATAAACAATGTGGAAAGGAAGAAATAGTTGATACACCCATGGAACTTTTAAGTAAACTGACGATGTACTAAAACACAGAAATACTAAACACAAATGAAAAAAGGAAGAAATAGTTGATATATCCCTTATAGACCATAAGAAATAAAAACAGTAATTGATTAAGGGACCACAAATCAAAAATACAGACCTATATGGTGATTTAACAATGAAATCCTTAATAATGAGTGGGTCAAAGAACAAATCATAGAAACATCCACTATATAAAAGAAAA